AGCCCTGCTGAGTTTCTGACTGCACCTGCTGAGGTGAAGAGCTTGAAGCAAGTTCGAAGTGCCTCTCACCAATGTTTGCCAGGCGGAGGTGAAGCTGGCCCCTCACGACCACATGGACCCCGATGGGCTTCACCCCCCACGGCCGGAAAACCTCTCCACTCATCACAGTTGCATCTGGTTTGTACTCTGTGGTGATGACCTCCAGCTCATGATAGACCTGAACCGCTGTCCGGCCTTGGCGAAGCAAGTGCTGCAAAGAGAGCACAGTGGTGGCTGGGCAACCAAGAAGCTGGTGAGGTGTATGTCTGAAAGCAGGAACCCATCACTCCACCCCCACTGCCCCTTGCAATACTTAGTACTCCAGGATAAGTTGCCAAGTTGCCCCTTCCATTTCCTGTGTAGCCCACCTCTAAACCACTTTGTTTCTGCAGATTGTAGGCCTCCCTCTCTCTCCTTCCTGTAAAAGCTCTGATCCACACCTAGGTCTTCTCTAGCCTTGACTACTTCTCCCACTATGGCCTCCAAAATCACTCATGTTCTAGTAATTTTGACACTTATTTCTCCAATGCTGTTTCTCTCCTGCAGAAGCTTCTGCCCCTTGCAATCCTATCCCTACTCTTCTGGGAAACGTCCTTCTCACGGTCTTTGCTCTTCCAGCTCCACCTTGCTTGAGGTCTGAAGGTCTTCTCCTGGCTGAAGAATTCTATGCACCTACAGGTATGGCTGGAACTATCTCTCAAAAAACTTCTTGTAACTGTTTCCTTCCAGTCCCTCTCCTCAAAACTGTAGCCTTCAGTCAAATGTCAGGAATTTGCAACCAATCACCTGCCCCACTCCCAAAACACAAGGACTCTTCTGACCCTGTTGAAGTTCCCCACCTACCTTCAGCTTCACAGCAGCAGATCCCACCAGAAGCAAGGAGTCTCCGTCCCAGACGTCTATTTGCAGGGTGTGCTGGGAGAGGTATTGGAGAAACCAGCGCTGCTCGCCTGGCTTAAGGAAACCCAGGTCCACCATGTATTTCAGATGGAAACCAGGGGAGCCTGTAGAGAAAGAAACGGGCCAACGTGCATTAATAATACGGCAATAAACTTCCCTTAACCTTGTAAACTGGCCTGCAACAGTCCCTATCCCACAAAAAAACGACTATTTCCCATGCTCTAATATGCACATTTATGTTGATCACTGGTCACGTGGAAGCTAGAAAGCTCCATTTGAAAGGGAGGAGCGACTTCTATGGAGGGTAGAGTCTCCAAGGGCCATCAAGTGCAAGAGCGCTGCATCTTCCGCATCACAAGACACTTGATGGCACCTCCAGGGGGCTGTGAAAAATAAGCTGGCTTAGGATGCTGTTACAGCTGTAAAGCAGAGTGGAAATACCAGCATGGAAGAAAGAACAGCCGGGATAGAAATGAGAGGAAGGAAGGCAGGAAGGCAGGCGGGCAGGCGGGCAGGCGGGCGGGCAGGTGGCCACAGACACACACACAAGGTAACGGAAACATATTATAATGCACACTCAAAAAGTTAGGAGTGGGTAAATAGCTATCCTTCTCCCAGGATCAGCTTTCAGAAGAACAAAACCATGCCTGGCTCAGAGAGAGACTGAGTCCTTGGAAGGGCAGAACACAAGCAAATCAAAAAGTGGCAAATTTGCCCGGCTGATCCTGGTCAGGCAGCTGAGATTTCTAAATGGCGCCAGTGATTTTCCTACAGGAAGAGGATCAGAGGCTCTGTTGTCCCTGGCCACGCTAAACGAAGCTGATGGGGGTTGGCCTCAGGTTCTTCCTCTCCGGGTAGAGGGCAGGAAGAAGAGGGGGACGGAGGGAGGGAGCAGAGATGAGGCAAGGGCAGGAAACCCGGCTCCCAGCCCTACAAGGTAGGCCACATCAGGAAACCGACTCCACGGCTGAGATAGGCTCCCACAACAGAATCTGGCAGTCTGCTCCTCCCCTCCCTCCGATACCCCAGCGAGTCAGGGAGGGTCCAGCCTGAGCCTTTGCTAATACTATTCCCTCCTCCCAAGGCTTCATCCTTGTTACGCAGCAGTTTCTGGATATCTGCTTCAAGGCCCCCTCTGGGTTTTCTACAGTGGGTGGATGTTAGCCTATTTCCTCCCCCGAGCTACAATCTTCTCATCCGTTGCTCCCGGCCTTACCGAGGTTCAGGGTCCCGTCTCGGTTGATTGGCACCAAGATGTGGCTGGCTGCCCCGGAGGCCTCTGTCTGGACCAGCTGCAGACGTGGCGTGGTGACTGGGGGGAACCGGTAAAACTGGAGGGTGAAATAGATGCTCTGGGGCCACGTCGCAGGGCTGTCCCGGGCAGGCCTTGCAGAAACGACAGAAGAGGAGAGGCTGTTCAACCAGCGGGGCTGAAATCCCAGTGTCGCCTCGCTCGACACCCTAAAGCAGCTGTTAGGGGTTACACACTAGACGCGGCCAAGGCGGGGGGGCTGTAAATTCATGGAAAGCTTAACGGAAGCTGGGAGGCGTGAGTTGCGAGTGCAGAACCTTTTGAGAGGGGAGGCCCTGCGGCGTTGAGGATTATGGGGTGGGGGGAAGAAAGCAACAGCCCAATTGGTTCAGCAGAGACCCCAAACAGTCGCTCGGGTGGGAGCATCTCTGACCTTGTGGGGTCCTCTAAATGCTTCAGGGGCTGAATGCAGGGGTCAAGCCAAGAGGGAGTGACTTCCCCTGGACCCCCCTAGGATCAAGTCATTTGCTCAGGTGGGGTAAGAGGGAGCAAGCGACAAGGCCCTTGCCATCCCACAGGTCAGTTTCTTCTTTTACTACTTTTCAGGAAGAAAAGCTCCCTGTAACGGCAAGGAGCGCCAAGGCAAACATACGCCGGGGCCACCTTCCATCTGCCCATGTCAGGTTCAGCCCAAAGAACTCTAAGAGACAATGCAAATACAGTTCTGTTGCATTTATTAGCTTCAACCTCCAGAGAGAAAATCTCCCCAGACTGAACCCTAGTTCACAAGCCAGCCAACCACAACACCATGAATTCCTTAGGGAGGTGCCAGCCTCATCCTCCTGAACTTCCCACGCTCCTGTTGGGGGCTAAGAACACGCTTATCTCCCTGAGCCTGGCCTTCATAAGTCCATTCCATCACAGTCCAGGCCCATGACACTGCCTTCCTCTTCTGTGAGTGAGAGGGGCTTAACTCCTCCTTAGCTGTGCCAGTGTTAACAGAAGGGGCAGGCCCAAACCTACAGCCCTTCCCAGGTGTCCAAAATCTGACCTCCCCTGGCCAGCGAGGTAGCCACAGGATTGGGAAGAACCCACTCCTCCTGACTACTCCAGGGCCGGCATGGGCACCCCGCTTCTCCTGCGCCACCATTCTTCCTTCCTCCCCACAGAAAGACCTGGGCTCTCTCAAGAGCTGAAGCTCCTCCCAGCTGGGGAGGGGGTCAGGGAGTCCTAACGACTGGGGAGTCAGGCCAGGGAGCCCCCATCACAGACACAATGGCTGGAAGCTGATTCTTCCTTCACCTGTTACCTGGCAACTCAACTCAGGCTGGAAGAGGTAGCTGATCAAGTGGGGAGGGGCTCTTTCCAACACCCCACCTGAAATTAGGGCCTGCCACTCATGGAGGCTCTATAGGCAGGAGAGGGGGAAGGGAGCCAGGGCTAACTATTTCATGCCAGTCTAGTTTTTGAACTGGAGGGCAATAATCCTTGAACTCAGCAGTGGGGAAAAGCCCTTGGAGTTTGGGGGCTAGTCCAGCCCCAGCACAATCTCTTCCAATTGCATCCCCTGTCTGTTCAGAGCCCTTTTTTTTGCATCTGTGGCCTTTTTTGAAAAAGGAACTATTTCAATTGCACGGATCTTTTCAGCCCCATCCAGGAATCAAAACGATTCGCCCACCTGCTAAAGGCAAGGAACTGCAAGTTGATTTCGTTGTTTTGCAAGAGATCGCCTTCTTCCCGCTGGGGGCTGTAGCGTGCGGGGTCAGCGGGATCCACCATTTCAACCGGCTCCTTGTTGCAATCCAGAAGCTCAGGGAATCCAGCTGTGCGCAGGCGGGCAAGAGAAGCCCGGGTGGGGGCAGTGCTCGGGCTGGGGAAGAGATGGGCTTTTGAATCCAGGACAAAGCAGAGGGCAGAGACAAGGATGTTTCTGCGTCTTCCACAAGGGTTTGAGGAAAACAGATTGATTTTAAGAGCCGGAGTGGTAAATATCCAGCTCCCAGCTCAAATATCTGCCATCTTGTGCTGCTGGGTGGAAATCAGGAACTGAGATGAGCACTAAGGTTTTTCAAAATCCTCCCTCAACTTCTGTGTGCTGAGAAAAAGTGGAAGAAAAGGGAGAAACAAAACCTTTCAACAGCTTCTCCAGGGCAAGATTCTGTCCTCTGCAGTAAACAGGAGCCCCTCAACCAGGACAGCTGAATAGGTTCTCTCCTGATGAGGATTTGGGGCTCCCTGAAAACTGGGGAGCCAAGGAAGGTGCAGAGGGCTGGAGAGAGGATGGTGCAAGGGAGGATAAGCTCTTCCTGCACCCCTCGGGGGCCGCCTCCTTCATCAGCCTGGGACAACTTCAAAAGCCAATTCATTGCAGCCAGTTCAACTATGGTGGGTGCTGGCACTGTTCAGAGAAGGAAGCCTGGGCGTGCCCCAGCTTCTACAAATCCCAGGGGCTCCTGCCCTTTGCAACAGGGCCTGGCCTTCCAGGTGGTGGTGGGGGGACAGGCTTCTGCAGCACAGCAGGGAGCGACGCTAAGGGGAAGCCTCCGAAAGCCTGCTTTCGATCCACTCATGCAACGTGGGACGCCGAGGCCCAGCTCCACATCCCACGTGAGGGTCAATGAACCACAGCTCGGCTTTCAAAAGCCTGTTGTTCTCCTTAGCCACCTAAGTGGCCAGCAGAGGAAAGCGTCCTTGCCCAGGCCCTTTGATGAAGCTCTTGGCGAGGGAAACAGCCTCTTCAGAAGCCATGTTAACTAAAACGCACTGCTCAGTAAAACACTAGGCAGGCTTGCATTACAAGGGAAATAAAGGACAGGAGGACCGAGCCACAAGGATCATATGAACAGAGTCATCAGAGCTGTTGCCATGGATGGTCCAGCGCTGGCCCCAATAAAGCGGCATGGGGAGAAAAATTGGCTTAAAGATGTAGCTGTTTGCAAGAGCATCTTCACCACCGCCAACCCCCTTTTCCAGCAATTAAGGAGTGCCTTGATTCTGCCTGAAACCTAGAGCGCTTGGCGCTCACATCTAAAAGGACATTTCATCCTGATCTTCAGTGAGGCTGGGCTTCTTCAAGACAGGTGTGCGGCCCGCAGCCTCTGGGACTCAAACTGCCCTCCGGGGGAATCCGAACGCTCCTTTTTAAGAGACTGCCTGAAACCCCTGCTCAGGACTGCCTGAACTCTCCCGGCAGCCTCCTGCTTGGGATAGTCAGGAAGAGCAAAAGGGCGTCCACTTTTGGCTTCGGTCCCAACCTCTGCTGGCTTTAGCCTTGTCCACCAGATGGTCCTTAGCAGATTGCATGAGAAAGTGCAGCCCCTGATGCCCCCCAAAAACCTGCCTGCTGGATTTAATAAAAATCAGTAACAGAGGGGCTTGGACTTCCGCTCCCAGATCTTACGGTGGAGGTAAGCTTTGCCTACCAACTCCTCTGAAATACCCTGCTGAGCCCTGACATTTAGTTAAAAAGGGAGCAAAGAGCTGCCTCCCCCCCATCCCAACTGGGGAGGAGATTTTGTGGACAAGCCTGCCCCCCCACCTTCCCCTCACCTTCGCAAATGTGCTCCTCCCAGGGCAAGGATGGGCACGTGGACCGGCGTAAAGGGCATTGGCTGGAGCTGGTCCATTGTGGAGCAATCCCCAAGCCGGGAGTCACAGCTGAGGTCAGACTCCAAGTGAGTGATGGCCCCTTGGGGTTTCTCCGGCTTGAAAAGAAGAGAAAGCATATCAAGAGGCACGCTGGAAAGCAGAGGAGAGGGTTAGCATGGAGGTATGTCAAGAAGAGAGGCGGAGACAAGATTTGGTTGGCCCAACAGACCCGGTTACTGAACAGACCTAGTCTCTGCGCCTGCCCAGAATTCCCAGCTAGGGAAACGCTTTCAGCCCCGCCCCCCTGGCTGTCCCAGAGCCTTTTGCTGTTTCCATTGTGCCCTCCCCCAACACATACAGCATGCAGGCCAGGTTGTCTACGGCCTCTCCGTTCTACCAGGAGGGGCACTGCTCCCTGGGTGATCTCCAAAAGCTAAGCTGGGTTGGGTCTGGTTCGTACTTGGATGGGAGAACACCAGTTTTTTTTTTTTTTAATCTGGAACCTGGGCTCCTCTGGGATTGCCCTGGAGTGTCCGAAGCCTTTACCTCTCGAGCCGGCGGAAGGTTTTCCAAGGACTGGGATGGTTGAGTGCTGCTGACCGGCTGCGGCAAAGCGTGGTGGCTCCTGTTTGTTGGAGACACTGAAAGCTGAGACAGCGACAGCTGCAACACAAGGACATTTGTGAGAGGAGGAGGCCCGGCCACCACTTCTCCTCTCGCAAGGGGTGAGGGCAAGCCTAGAATCGGGGTCCAAGAAACTCTTGGAAGATGTAAGGCAGCCAGAGCGTCTACAGATGGGTGGACTTCAACTCCCAGAATTCCCCAGCCAGCATGGCTGGCTAGGGAATTCT